GAGAGTGTGGGTCTCATGCAAAAACACAACTTCAACTTTCAGTGTGTTCAGTTTGTAAAAAAAAAAAATTCTCCAGTGAAGTAAAAATCTCAGACTTTTAATTACTAATTAAATAATTATTATTTAATAACAAATATTACACAAATTATTAATAATGCCATAATTCAAAATGTAAAATATCATACTTTTATATGGTGAGGATATGAGTGAAAGAAACAAAAAACAGTAACCAATGAACTGAAAAATTAAAAAAATCAACATACACCATAACATAAAAATGACAAAGCCATCTAATTTTACTAAAAATTCTTAAATTACTATAATTTAAAAGGGAAAGGAAATAGAGCAAAATAAGTCAGAAAAAAAAATTAAAAGGAAAAATAAAGACCAGGAAATAAATGGCAAAATTATATCAGTTTGGTTAGGGTGCTTTTTTTCTTCTCGTTTTGTGGGTTTATTTCTTTTGTATGTTGGTATTTTATATGTTCTGTTTTATTGTGTTGTTAAAGCAATAGCATCATTAAAACAAGGTCAGCCTTTTCCCGAATCAGATCAAAAGGCAAATTCATTATTTTCTTTATTTCTTTTCTCATACTTGTATTCCTTTTATCTTGTTAAACATTTCTTTTAAAAAATGATATCTATAAAACAGAAAAGCATCCCTAAATTTGATGTTCTTTCCTGAATCAGGGAATTACTAACTAGATTTCACTGGCAGACTTTTATTCTGCGCTAAGAGTTTAATTCAGTATTTCCCAACTGTTCGCTTGTCGGGAACTGACGCTTTCACGGACAATAGAGAATGCATTTTTAAAACTTTCACAAAAGCCAAGGTGTGCTTGGCTTAGTCAATAATGATTCTGCAAGCTCCAGTCCCAGCAGATGAAGGGGCCGTATTGGAGAAGACTAAAGCAAGCCGAAACTACAAATAAAACATTAGAAATAAAGCTGATGCATCACGTCTCACTGTCGCTGATGGGGCCAACAGCCAAGATGGCCAGGATGAGGTCCCCGTGTGGGTTGGGGAGCACAGAATGCCAATTTGCAATTACTTCTTTTCAAATCTTCTC